TGATGGATTAGGGATTTTTCCTAATCCAATATTATTTGAACAGTACAAGAAAGCCCAATTTTATCTGGCCCAAGATATAAATCAGGTTAATTATTCAAGACAGAACCAGAGATATATGGACATAAGAATATATTTGAAGTGATGTGGAGACATTTGGCGGGACCCGTGGAACACTATCACATGGAAACCACATGCTGCACATGAGCTTCACATGGACAATGTCTCCTCTTGTCTCCATCAATTATTTCCTTCTCCTCTTTAAATGCATGCTACGAAGGAGGGAAGAGGGAAGCCAATTTCCTACTAGTTCTACTATTATTCTTCATTCTTCTCCTTCTCTTAGCATGGAGCTCCATTAATGGCTCCAAGCTCCTACAGTGATGTATATGTAAATTCCCCCCGAGATTAATAAAAGTTCCTCCTCTTTGGCATGACACCGCCTAAAAAGGCTCATGGTTTTCTCCTGATTTGGGTTTCCACGTATAAATACTTTCTCTCCGCTTTATTTATTTATTTAATTTCTGGATTTTGCTATTCGGTGCGGTGCCGACCCGGTACCGATTTCATCGGGTCGGCGCCCGAAAAAGCGGTTTCCATCACAAGTATTAACTAGTTTTTTCCAATATAAAGGAATAAAATACTTCGGTAAGCGGTATTTTTAGGAGAGAAGATGTATAAAAAAGAAAAAGTTACATAAATGATTCTTTATACTCCCTCCATCCCAATTTAAATTGCCTATTTCGGTTAACGATTTTTGACTGAATTTTCTTTTCAAATCATTTTCTATGAAAAATTGTATAGAATTAAAAAATAAAATTGCATATTTAAATACTATATCAAAAGATCTGCAATGTTAGTGCTGACTAAACTATATTATTTTTTCAAATGACTAATGAAAATAAGTAAAGAAAGTGAATAAAATTTGATCATGTGAATAGTAAACAAGTAATTTAATTTGAGTCAGAGGAAGTATTACTTAATTTTCTATATTTAGTCTCCAATTTTAAGATATTACATTTGTAAATCTCATTGAAAACTATTTCCTAAATATTTCTTTAGGACGAATATGACGCAATACTTTTTTCCATGCATAATCCTAAAAAGACTGATTGTGGAATAGTTTTCAAAAATTAAATAATAATTTATGAGCATTTCTAATAGTACTGCATATACTCAATTTCAAAGTTTTACATATCCAACAATACTCTATTTCCAACTGCAAAATAGGTTTTGCAGTATTTCAAATGCAAATATGGGTTGTAATGATTGAGGTACTCCATTTTTCTTTGTTTTCCATATCCTTTTTACTCTGTAATTTTTTTTAGATTTTTAAAGCTTACATTATTTATCTTTTTGGCTAACTTGTTTTTATAAATAACTACAGATTTTAGTTTTGAAATATGAAAAAATATATATAATGAAAATATTTTTTTGATTTTAATATAATAGGTTAGAAATGAATTACTCTAAATTTAATATTTATTGCATTTTGAGTTTGAGTTTGAGTTTGAGTTTGATGTGAATGCTTGAGATGGTCAAATATAATACTCCGTATGTAAATTGGAGATTAAAAATAGAAAAATCACATATTATGAAGAATTATTTACTCTAGGAAAAATGGTGCATACCAAACAAGCTCTAGTTTGTCTTTTGGCTGGAACCGCGTCTTGTCCTAAACTATTACCACCACAAGGTGCAGTTACTTGCTACCACTTCCATTAATAAATGTTCTCATTTGCTTTTATACTCTCTCTCTCTCTCTCTCTCTCTCTCTCTCTTATCTTCCTTTTCTCCGATTTCAACTTTCAGCCAGCATTGAGATTTTCAGGATCATTCCGGCAATGGATTGAAGTTTGATGTTTTCTCGTGGAGCTGGATCTCTTCTGCCTCCGGTAATTTGCTTCTCAGTTTTAAGTTCTTCTCTTTTCCTTCCTTCATCTATTTGGCGACTTCATTTCAGTTGGATCTATAAAGTTTTCGCAAAATCTTATCCTTTTTCTTGTTTTTTTCCTTTATTGTTCTTTACGAGTTTCTTAGATAAGTCAGCTCCATGCCCATCACTCTCTGTGAATGTCTTCTTAGCTTTGCCTGAAGACTTAATTATACGAGTAAATGAATCTGTATTCTTCAATTTTTTTCTATGTATTTTCATGTTGCAGATAGAAAGCAAGTTGAATCTGGATCTTCTGTTTTGGTTGTAGTAGAATTTTGGGAACCTTTCATTTTATCTGATTTCGAGATAAACGATTTTTTTTTTTAAACAAAAATTGAATTATCTGTGTGTTAGGGTTCTTGATATCTGCTTCTGGCTGTGGTAATTGATTGTGTCCTGTTGCTATTTCTTTTTTCAGAAACTCTTTGTTGACTTTTTTCTGGGCTAAGGTTACTGTGATTGATCCCATCAATGGCTGCCGACAGTTGTTTCATCCTTTCAATCCTGAGCTTCATGCTACTGGGTGAGCTGGGTCGAGTGTCTTTTGCAGCCAATTATGTGCCTACTGATAAGATTCTACTGAATTGTGGAGGCCAGGAAGGGGCGACTGATCTTGATGGTAGGAAATGGACGAGCGACATCGGGTCTAAGTTCCTCCTCTCCACCACCAAGTCATCCACCTCTTCTGCTGATGCTCAAAAGCCCTCTGTCCCACAAACTCCTTACATGTCCGCCCGTACCTTCCAGTCGGACTTCACTTATAGTTTCCCTGTGGCATCTGGTAGGAAATTCCTCCGCCTCTATTTCTATCCTGCTACTTATAACAACCTCAACGCCACAAACTCACTCTTCTCTGTAAGTGTGGGACAATTCACACTGCTGCATAACTTCAGTGCATCACAGACTGCTCAAGCTCTCAACTATGATTACCTGCTGAAGGAGTTCTCCATTAACGTCCCGTCCGAGACTCTGAATGTGACGTTCTCACCATCCCCAAACTCTTTCGCTTTCGTCAATGGCATTGAGGTAATTTCACACCCTGACATTTACAGCACTGCTGACGGGACTACCACGATTGTCGGGCAACAATCTGCCACCTTCATCATTGACAATAGTACCGCCCTAGAGAATCTTTACCGCGTGAATGTTGGCGGCAATGTGATATCGCCGTCGAGAGACACTGGAATGTATAGGTTGTGGGACGAAGATACAAAAAACATTTTTGGGGCAGGGCTCGGGGTCACGCAGACTGCAGATGATTATAATCTGACAATCACTTACCCGCAAGGAATGCCGAGCTATGTTGCCCCGGTGGATGTGTATAGAACTCTTAGATCAATGGGTCCAAATGCGAGCGTGAATGCAAATTACAATTTGACATGGTATTTTTCGGTTGATTCAGGGTTCTCCTACCTTGTAAGACTCCACTTCTGTGAGATCACTAACATCATTACTAAGATCAACCAGAGGGTTTTTATAATTTACCTGAACAATCAGACTGCTGAGCCAGAAGCCGATGCAATAGCTTGGGCGGGCCGAAATGGGGTCCCCACTTTCAAGGATTACGTGGTGTCCGTTCCTCCCGGGGTTCCACAAGTGGATCTTTGGCTTGAATTGCATCCCAAACCTGGAGCCAATTATCTAGATGCAATCTTGAATGGATTGGAGATATTCAAAATAAGCGACAGTACAGGAAATCTCGCAGGTCTGAATCCGATCCCTTATGTGCAACCACACATTGAACCGTTCATTCGCCCTTCCTCACGGGGAGATTCAAAGAATAATAACAAAGCAGCTATTGGCGGAGGGGTAGGTGGTGGAATTGCTGCTTTCCTACTCATTGGCTTGGTCATTTGTATCTTCTCTCGCCGCCACATCCACAGGAAGGATTCCTCAAGCACAAGCGATGCACAATCTGGTTGGCTTCCTCTTTCCTTGTATGGAAATTCACATTCTTCTGCTTCTGCCAAGACAAACACCACTGGAAGCTATGCCTCCTCACTTCCGTCAAACCTTTGCCGGCACTTCTCATTTGCTGAGATCAAGGCTGCCACTAAAAACTTTGATGAATCTCTTCTCCTTGGAGTTGGAGGTTTTGGCAATGTGTATAGAGGAGAAATTGATGGGGGAACAAAAGTTGCTATTAAACGTGGTAACCCTCTCTCTGAACAAGGCATTCATGAATTCCAGACCGAAATCGAAATGCTTTCTAAACTTCGTCATCGCCACCTTGTATCTTTGATTGGTTACTGTGAGGAGAACTGTGAGATGATCCTTGTCTATGATTACATGGCATACGGGACCCTTCGTGAACACCTCTATAAGACCCAAAAGCCGCCGCTACCGTGGAAGCAAAGGCTTGAGATCTGCATTGGTGCTGCCCGTGGCCTTCACTATCTCCACACCGGCGCGAAACACACGATTATCCACCGCGACGTGAAAACTACCAACATCCTCTTGGACGAGAAGTGGGTGGCGAAGGTTTCTGATTTCGGGTTGTCAAAAACGGGTCCCACTTTGGATCACACCCATGTGAGTACAGTGGTGAAAGGGAGTTTCGGGTATCTGGATCCGGAATACTTTAGACGACAGCAACTCACCGAAAAATCTGATGTCTATTCATTTGGGGTCGTCCTTTTTGAGATATTATGTGCACGCCCAGCTTTGAACCCTACCCTACCAAAGGAGCAGGTGAGCTTAGCGGAATGGGCGGTGCATTGCCACAATAAGGGTATTCTTGACCAGATCACTGACCCTTATTTGAAAGGCAAGATAGCACCCGAGTGCTTCAAGAAATTTGGGGAGACGGCTGTGAAGTGCGTGTGCGATGTGGGGACAGATAGGCCATCAATGGGAGATGTGCTTTGGAACCTTGAGTTTGCACTACAACTTCAAGAGAGTGCAGAGGAGAGCGGGAAGGGTATTGTGAAAATTGACGGGGAGGAGGAGGAGAAGGGGTTCGGCGTCATGATGGGCAAAGCAAAGGATGTATCATCATCACCCCCCATCGGCTTTGATGGAAGCGTGACGACCACTGATTCAAGAAGCAGTGGCATATCAATGAGTATAGGCGGTCGGAGTGTTGCCAGCGAGGACTCAGACGGGCTGACACCAAGTGCCGTCTTCTCACAGATTATGAACCCAAAGGGCCGTTGATGACACGAGTCCTTGATGACCAATCAATGTATGTACACTATATTCTTTTCCACCCACTGTTTATTATACTTCTATTTTGATACAATTTCCTTTAGTTAATCCTTGTGTTTCTTTAATATAAGCAAAAATCTTCTGTAACCTTTTGAATTTGCAGCTTGAGGGCACGAAATGTGCTTTTTTCTTTGTACCCATAACTGTTAAGAGATTGTTTGGCTGTGATATTTTCATTTGTAATTATTTACCTTATACTTCTGAGGACTATTGATTCTTATGGACTACACGTTATTTATTTTGTTTTCTTGGCTGCATAAAAATTGATTCTTGGTTTCTAGATTCGATGTAAGGGTGTAAACGGATGTTTAATAGATTAGATGTGACATTATCTAATATATGGAGTATTAATATATGTCCGTATTTGTTTGCTCTTATCTAATATATGTACTGTATTATTGTATATTTTTTTTTAAACGTATGTTGTGTCTCTATATTCTATACGTTTAAAAAAAATATACAATAATACAATACATATATTTGTATGTGCCTATATGCAAATTTTCCTTATAAAGATGTTATTACACTAATAAAATTTGAACTATACGGAGTATACAGGTGATGGATTCTTTTAACTACTACCTCCGTCTCAAAGTATTTGTCCACTTTCATTTTTACACATCATTCAATATAAATCCATTTTATCTTGTAATTTGTATATTAAAAATTATAGAAATTATATATTAATAATCTATATGTTAAGACAAATTAAACAAGATCACACATGGCTATATTTAGGCTTACACATTGAGAGAATTTGATGAGTCAAAGTGCTTAGATGAACAGTTTCAAAAGTCAAAATTGGACGAATACTCCGGGACGGAGGGAGTATTAGACAATTCAAGGCCCAATTCTACTATGCCGCCAGGGACATTGTAAAGATGAGTAATAATAAATGAAAATAGTAAATGGAAGCAATTAAGTAAAGAAATATTTGCACTAAATAACATTAAAACTTAAGTCATTTCACTAAATAGCATTTAAACTGTTTTATTCCCTAAATAGCACTTAATAATGTCCACAATGTTCAATGACGTCAAATATTTACTTAAATAATGATTAATGCATAATGACTAAAAATGCTACATTGGGAGGAAAAACATATGTGAAGCTATTTGGAAAAAATCATTATGTTTAGTGATATTAAAGTAGATTCCCCATTAAGTAAAAGGTAACTCCGCTAAAGCGATTTGGCTGACACCGCACCTTGAGGTGACTCTTGAGGTCAGGGTAACTCAAAAGGAAGCACTCATCGAAATGCTCTCTTACTACTCTTTAAAACTAGACTCGTACATTTGCATTACACAGTCTAATTATAAACTATATAGAAGAAAATGATAAAATTAAATTATAATAATAACATATAATCAAATAATAAAGAAATTGTAAATATTATATATGTTCATCATGAAAGATCACTTCCATTGAATCTTTCCCTCTTGCCCAAGCCGGAACAAAGTAGACACGAACAGCTCGTAGCATAAGCATCCAAATGGTTCGATAATTGTCAATCTCAGCAAGCGCATTCCACATACTCTTTGAATGTTTTGATACATTTTTTTTAGAGTGAGCCGAATTGGGATGAGAGGTATGAAATGTTTGAAGTACAAGTAATATACGGAGTATATATATAATTGGACAATCAATCTACTCATTAAATATCTTGATTTAATGAGTCTATTCCTTTAATATGATTTGACATAAAGTATGTATAGAGTCACGCACCATCTTTACTACACACCCGGTTCCATATCAATAAAATATTCATTTATTTATTTTGATTTGATATAAAGTTTGAATCGAGCCACACACCAATGTTACTATGCGCGCCATTCCATACCAATACACTACACATTTATTTATTTTGATTTGACATAAAGTTTGCATCAAGTCACACACCAATTTTACTTCGCACGCGGTTTCATAGCAATACACTACCCATTTATTTATTTTGATTTGAGATAAAGTTTGCATCGAGCCACGCACCAACATTACTACACACGTGGTTCCATATCAATATACTACATACTCCCTCCGTTCCCCTGTATTTGTCCACATTTGACTTTTGGAACTGTTAATCTAAGCACTTTGACTCATCAAATTCTCTCAATGTGTAAGTCTAAATATAGTCATGTGTGATCTTGTTTGATTTGTCTTAACATATAGATTATTAATATATAATTTCTATAATTTTTTAATATACAAATTACAAGATAAAATGGATTAAAAAAGTGAATTAGATGGTGTGTAAAATGAAAGTAGACAAATACAAGGGGACGGATGGAGTATTTATTTATCTTTATTTGACATAAAGTTTGCATCGAGTCACACACCAACATACTTACGCACGTGGTTTCATATCAATACACTACTCATTTATTTATTTTGATTTGACATAAAGTTTGGAAAATGAAGTTATTAATCCATCCATTAAATGCTTGGAAAAAGGAAAAGTATAAATCAAATGGATTTGACATAAAGTACATTGAGCAATAAGATATATTTGACACACTTTTACTTTAAGGAGAAATGCACTCATGATTTGACCTAAAGATGTCCAAGTTATCAATCGCGTCAGTCAGCCCACTTGCCCCGGTCCATACTCGAACTCACTACCCGTCACTCTACCCACTTAGCCCGGTCGATTCCCGAACTCACTACTCGTCACTCTGCCCACTTGGCCCGGTCCATACCCGAACTCACTACCCGATGGTTTTGACGGGAACACTATTCCCAAAACCATCCTAACATTGTATATAATAGGATTGTGTTTACTTGTTCATTACAAGATTTCCTCCTTAGGCCATCGGAATTGGGTGTGACGCTTAGCGGCGTCATCCCCCGTTTTAACACCCGAGGGCATTAAACACCGCCCCCTAGGGCCTCAAACGGGCGTCGTGGCTTCAACGTCAAACTTTTGACACGTTCCTCCCCTCCCCCAACGGCCAAAAACGGCTATTTTAGCCGTTAAACCAAAAAAACTAAATTCAAAAAATAAACCTATAAATTCCCCTCAAAATATACATATCCCTCACACATCTCTCACTATCTGCTCTCTACAATTCTACCAATCTTTCAAATATTTGATTATTTATTATAAATATTTATAAAATATATTATAAAAATGGGATCATTTTCATCTGATGATCAAAAAAGAGCTCTCATTTTTTGTTGTTTCGTCACAAGTTGTGTTCAATGGTGGGAACAAGGTGAAAAAGAAGAAGCTGAATCCTCCCGACGCCGGACCCGGACCTGACGACAACGTTTAAACCGGGATCAAGCGGCTGTCCACGCTTCACTTCTCAATGACGACTACATTAATACTCCGTGTGTTTGTAAACCAGAAGATTTTAGTAATCGTTTTCGGATGAGTCGTTCTCTCTTTTTATGCATACTCGCCGAACGCTTTGATGCGAGTTGCCTTGGTTCACCCAACGCTTTGATGCGAGAGGCCGACGCGGGTTTAGTAGTGTCCAGAAGTGCACTGCCGCACTTTGTCAGATGGCGTACGGGACGACATCTGATATGTTCGACGAATACTTGAAGATGTCAGCTCGGGGCATCAGGTCTTGCGTTTATAAATAATTCTAAAGCTATTATTCAAATTTATCATAAAAGATATTTATGCAAGCCTACATCGAACAACATTCAGCAGTTACAGGCAAGGCATACTGCTAAACACGGCTTTGTCGCATGCTTGGGAGTATTGATTACACGCATTGGGAATGGAAAAATTGTCCCACTGCGTGGCATAGTCAATTCTCCCGGAGAGATCACCCTAGCCTACTATCATGTTCGAAGCTGTTGCTTCAAATGACTTGTGGTTTTGGCACGCTTTTTTCGATGTCGCGGGCTCGAACAACAACATCAACGTTCTCGATCAATCGCATGTTTTTGACGATTAGATTAGTAAACTGCACCTGACTCGTCCTTTGAGCTTAGAGGAACGCTTTACAAGCGTAAATATTATTTGGCCGATGGAATATATCCAGATTATTCTACGATTGTCAAGTCCCTCTCCGAACCAACAGATCTTAAACGCCAGACCTACAAAAAAGCTCAGGAGGCGGCGAGAAAATATATTGAACGAGCCTTCGGGGTCTTGAAGGCTAAGTGGCACATTCTAGAACATTCGTCAAAATGTTTTTCTCAAAAAAAAATGAGGAATATCATGTACGCATGTATTATTCATCATAATATGATCGTAGAGGACAATGAGTTTGCAATTTGTCAATACGACCCGGGCGAGGAGGTGCCTATGTACGAAGAAGTTGACGAAGAAAAGAAACGAAGAAACCGCCAAGAAATTCGAAGCCGAGAGATTCACAATGCACTAATGGCAGATTTGATCAAACATATCTTCAGTCGCTCGAATAATTAGTAATTTCTTTGTAGTATTGTTTTTTTATGGATGTAATATTTTTTAATGAATGTAACTTTTTTTATGAATATAATACTTTTTTAATGAATGTAGTTTTTTTAATGCACTAGTCTCTTTTCGATTATTTTAAATAATAAATTAATAAAAAATTATTAATTTAAATTTAGAAGATGTATATTTAAAAATGTAATAAATGAATGTTTGAAGCCCCTGTTTGAAAAATCTGTGAGGTAAGTTAAAAATGACGTGGCAGAGAGAGAAATTTTGAAGCCTTGGTTTGAAGCCTCAGGGTTTCCCAGATATTTCTAGTGCTCTTATGTTACACTACCCTTTCTGATATAGGATGAACAAGATCTGATTGGATTTGAACTTACTGTAGTTTTATTTAAAATTGCTTTTGATCTGGTACGATTTTAATAATAGTAAGTAATAGGTTGAAAAAATAAATTGAACGAAACAGACTTTTAAACCTATTGATTAATTATACTTCCTCCGTACACAAATAAAGTTCCCATTGCGCGTTACAATATTTGACTGAAATTATTTTCAAATCATTTTCTGTGAAAAATGGTATGGGATTAAAAAATTAAAATTACATATTTAAAAACTACATGAAAAGATCTACAAAACTAGAGGTGACATGACTATATTATTTTATCAAATAAGACACAAAAATAGACCAACAAAGTGAATAAAGTTTAACCCTGTGAATAGTGAACGAGAACTTTATTGTTGGACGGAGGGAGTATTTATTACGGGTCGTCCCTGCTTACCCATTCCTATTGGGTCTCGTGGGTAGTTCATTTATTTACTTTTTCTACTCTGGTTCGGAACATGTCTTGGGCTCTTCTACAGTTATACTTCCTATGCTCCAAAATTAATTACTCCGTACAATATTTTTAGGTCCCGATAATTTCTGTTTGCTTATGTATTTTCAATTATTATTTAATAAAATTAAATATTCTTTTTCTCTCTTTTTATAGAGATTCCGATGGTATTTTTTAACATGTAAATTGTATTAATTATTCTTGTACCAATTTTTAATAAGTTAATTTGAAAAAGAGTAAACTCTCAAAATAGTACTAAATAACAATTTTTTTTCAAACTAATCCCCAAGATGAACTAATTACCGAGATGGTACTCGTTAATTGAAAAAAATATTCAATTTAGCCCCCTTACTAACAGCCAAAACGATATCAAAACAACGTTAAAACTTATACTAATTTTCAAAAAATTATCCTTTCTAATTGTGTATTTTCTAAAATTGCTCCATTCTTGAAATAAAAACTTATAAAACAGGGAAAAAAAGATTTTAATTTTTTAGGATGAGAATATAATAACTAAAACTATAAATATCATTTTATAAATTTTAAAGTAAACATATCAAGTTATTTACACAAACTTAAAGTAAACATATCAAGTCATTTTATAAATTTTAAAGTAAACATATCAAATTTTAAAGTAAACATATCAAGTTATTTACCAATCTTATTTTTCCTTTAATTTTTTGTAAAAGTAAGAAGCTTTTTTAAAAGGAGCACATCTATTTGTTTCTCCATTTTGCATTCTTTCAGAATTGATACAATGTTTGAACAAAGGGCACCTCTAAGCATGCATCAAGCAACGGCAATTTTACAATATTGAATTTTTCATCCAAATTTTCGAAAAAAATTCTAAGTCCAATTGTATCATCAAATCATCAATCATAGTAATCCACAAATGGAAATCAATAGATTGGACAAAAATTTCCCTTCTCTTTTTCCAATGAGAAACTTTTGCCTTTGAGATAAAGAGTTTGAAAAATATTTTGATAACAATCCATTAAAAAAATAAACAAGACCAAATGAAAATTTAGGATTTCTCCTGATCCTAGTTGGATAAGATAAATCCTCTCGATTGGGCACAAATAAAATAACCAAGATGCACTTAAGCACTTTAAGCTAGAAAACTTCAATATCACTTGAAAGTCGATTCTAGCCTTAGAGCATTGGTAATACATGCAACGCCCCCCGGCGTGATGGGGCGTTTAATGCCCCGGGGGCGTGAAACACCGCCCCCCGCCGGGCGTGAAACGGCGTGATCGGGCCAGCGTGAAAGGAATGACGCTGCGTCATTCCATTCTCCTCCCCCCTAACGGCTATAAAGCCGTTGCACCCCATTTAAAAAAAAATTCTTATAAATTCAAACCCCACCCCACCCAATCTCTCACACCTTCTCTTCAATCTCTTCTTCTTCCCATTTTAAATTTCGAAATTACCCCTTCTCTATTCAACATGAATCCTTCCGGCTCCGGCTTCTTTCCCGACGATCTCGCGCCCGTCGACGCCGCGATGTGGTATTACCAAGAGTTGGGCGATCGACCACCGATGTACGAGATGCAACAGTCGGGGTACGTCGACCGAGATTCGGTTCCGGAGACTCAACCAGAACCGTCCGGATTGAAAAAAAGTACACGCCAGAAAAGCCACAAAGCCAAAAGCACGTTGACCGAGGCGGCACGGTCAATCCAAAAGTGGACGCCGGAGGAGGAATGCATATTGGCGTCGGCTTGGGTTGATGTCTCCGAGCATCCTATGATTGGTTAAAAATTTATTTTTTGTAATATATTTATGTTTTTATTTTTATATATTATATTTAGTGGTGTCTAAAAAAATTGTGTAATACATTTTTAAAGGTACGGAGCAAACGAAGGATGCGATGTGGGATCGTATCGAGGAGAAGTTCTTCACGGCGATGAAGAAGGACGGCTCCTACCCCCAAATGGAGCCACATCAACAAAAAAGTCCGAAAGTTTATGGGAGTTTACGAGGGATGCTCCCGGTCAAACGCTGATGTTCTCCGGCTTGCCACGACCCGGTATCAAGACGCCGGGAACCAAGGCAAGGTGCCCATCGATCTTTGGAGGATTTTGAGTCGTTCCCCGAAGTGGCAAGAACTCAACAATCCCGACGGCGGATCGTTCCGGAAAAGATCCACCGTCGACGCCGATGTTGAGGTCGACGAGACTATTAGTTCTAGCGATCAAATCCCTCCCTTCAACGTTGCGGATTCCGATGACGAGGACCCCTTTCCACGGCCGATCGGAAGAAAGAAGGCAAAATCCATTGCCTCGGGTTCGGGAGAGTCCGCCTCTGTTTCCGCTTCTCCCCGCGACGAAATCGGCCGGGCAATGATTGAACAACTTCGGACGTTCAATCTCCAAGAACAAGAGAGGTTGAAGCTAAAGAAGAAGGAGTTGAAGCTAAAGGAGCAGGAGGCTGAGATGAAAGTCATGCAAACCGACCCCGGGACGTTGTCGGAGTTTGGACAAATGATCTATGAGCAAAGAATGAGAGAGATCAAGGAGAAATATAATTTACCTTAGTTTTTTTAATTAATGTATCCTTTTTTAAATTATTGACGTTTTTATTTATTTAATAAATGTATTTTTTTTATTCGTGTTTCAACTTAATTAAATAATAAATTAATTACATTTTATTAATTTAATTTTAGAAGATGTATATTTAAAAATGTAAAAAATGAAGGTTTGAAGCCCAGTTTTGAAGCCCCGGGGCTTCAAACCCATTTCCAGTGAATTTTGGGTGTAAGTTAAATCTAACGTGGCAGAGAAAGAAAGTTTGAAGCCCCGGGGCTTCATAACCATTGCCATCCCTATCTTGAAGTATGCAACTAGTTTCACTGCTAGCTCGACACCACCTCCACGAACCACCGAACTAGCTAGCTTTCGCCTCTAGCTCGATAGTGCTTTGATGAAGCACCCAACTACCCTGAGGTTTTTTCATCCGCTCTCCTTAACGATGCAATGACATTTCACCACGGCTATCTTCATGTGTTCTTCAATAAAGACTTAGCCATAGATATCTTCAACTACATCCAATGTGGAATTCACTGTTTTCCTCAACCGATTACACTGTGTTATGGAATAGAAGAACATGAACTATATTAATCAACATTGCCTCATACTCCTTCCGTCCCAAAAAGATTTACACCTTTCAAGAAAATTGCGTCCCACAATCTCCTACCTATTTTTATTAAAAAACCACTTTTACCCCTTACTTTTTCAAACCATACCTATCACATCATACTTTTTTCCTTATAATCTACACATCACAACCTACTTTTACACATCAAATCAAGGTTATTTTTGGAAAGTCAACACAAAATTATCTCTCCCTTAATTTCCACTTTAGTCAAAATGTTTAAAAATTTTTGGGACGGAGGAAGTATTATATAAAATACAAAGGACGGCTCAATGTGACAATTTGTATACATTCTTCACCAATACAAGTGTCTCGAGGTGTGTGTTCATAACATATGAAACGAAGTGATTAGCTCAATAATGACTCTAGAAAATAGCCAAATATGAATTTGAAGGAGCAAGAATATATTATGAGCACTTTAGAAAAATACATGAAAAAAGGGTAGAACTTGATTATTTAAAATCAATGAGAATGATTGGATATATGATTAGTAGCTTATTCAGAAAACTATAATTAAGTCAATAAATCCATTAGTAATAATATATTTTTTAGGCTATAAATGACTCCAGATGGTCCAGGGTTCGACTGTTGACGTGCTAAACTAAAGGTTTTAGTAAAATGGGCACAACTTCAATAGTTATCGAAATTGGGCAATTAAAAAACGAAGAATCTCGTATTTAAAATAGCTACAAGTTTTGTGATTTGAGTTTTTCAAAATTCTTATTTAAGGATATTTTTTGATATCGTTTGCTTTGCTTTTGACTAAAATGTGGAAACTCGGCTGAAAATATTTTTGTGTGTCCAAGACTGAGCTTGAGCATAGAAAGATAACATTCAAAAATCTTTAACAAAATTATTCATAACTATTTTACGTTAGTCCCATGTTAGCAAACACATTAACACAATCAAAATATTTTAGTGGATTTTAGTGTTCCTTTACATTTGAACAAAAACTGGCTAAAATAAATTACTCAGTAATTTATTTGAGCTAATGATTGAGAGACCCAAAACTTTCATATTCATTTTAGATACTACTACCTCCGTCTCACTCTATTTGTTCAGTTTGACTTTTTTGAGTCAAACTGGACAAACTTTGAACTCCAATTATTCTTAATATATATTGCATATTAACATAATAAAATACAATTTTGAAAGTTCTCAATACAATAAATCCAATAAAGTCATTTTTATGTTAAAATACATTACGGTTTTTATTTAATTGAAGCTCAAAATTTGTCCAGTTTGACTCGAAAAAATCAAATTGGACAAATATATTGAGACGGAGGGAATATTTCATCTGTCCCCATTTAAGTTTTTTGTTTAATACTTACAAAGTCAAACGTGAACCACGTTATTTACCTATTTTTGCTACCCATTAGAGAAAATGCTACTCCCTCCGTCCCTAAATAAAGTTTCATTTTTGATTTTTTGAGAATTTAAGGGAGGGATATTTTTGTGTTGACTTTCTAAAAATACCCTTGATGTGATCTGTAAAAGTAAGATGTGATAGGTAGATTATTAGTAAAAGGGTATGAGGTGATAGGTAGGGTATGAAAAAGTAAGGGGTAAAAGGGGTTTTTTAAGGGAAAAGAGAAATTTATTTATGGACAAAAAAAAAACGAAAGAGAAACTTTATTTAGGGACGGAGGGAGTATAATCTTATCCCATCTTGTTATGAACTCTGTAAAATTTCTGATGTAATTTTTAAATATAAAACTTTAAGTTTTTTAATTCCATACATGCGTTCATAAAAATTGAATTGAAAATAATTTAAATCAAACATTATACGGAGTAAATAATAAGGGACGATTTAAATTAGGACAAAGGAAAAAATGCCGTATATGATTGAAGTATTTTCCCAGAAATGAATTTGATCTGAAAGCATGTTTCACGCAATTTGATGACTCTATCAAATCTTCTTCATGCTCATCGTATGCAATTCCTTTCTAACGCTGCTATGCAGCACTTTCTCTGTCCCCTCCACGTGTTGTAACATTTCCGGTCCACCCCCAACGGGGATGAAAACCACCAGTTCCGGAATCGTCACCCCCACCCCACCCCCCACCCACACCAAAACTCATGTATGTCCATCCCCTACTACAAGGCACATGTGCTACCTTTTTCATTAATAGATGTTCATATGGAACTAGAGGCTATATGTAAAAAAAAAAACCACTCAAATGTAGTTATTCTCTCTCTCTCTATCTAACCTTCAATGTGTAGGTATCTCCATGTTGCAGATAAAAGCAAGTTTTACTGTGTACGACTGATCCCATTCATCAATGGCTGCCAACACTCGTTTCTTCCTTTCAATAACCCTGAGCTTTATGTTACTGGGGGAGCTGGTTCTTCCAGTGTGTTTGGCAGCCGACTACGTGCCAACTGATAAGATTCTGTTGAATTGTGGAGGCCCCGAAGGGGCGACGGATCCCGATGGTCGGAAATGGAGCACCGACATCCGGTCTAAGTTCCTGCCCTCCACCTCCGGCAACTCGTCGTCCACCTCTTCCGCCCACGTCCAAAAACCGTCCGTCCCCCAAACTCCTTACATGTCCGCCCGTACCTTCCAATCGGACTTCACCTACACTTTCCCCCTCGCTGCACCCGGAAGGAAATTCCTCCGCCTCCATTTCTATCCCGCTACCTATAACAATGTCGATACCACAAACTCAATGTTCTCCGTAAGTGTTGGACGACAATACACTCTTCTCCATAACTTCAGTGCTCTCGGCGACGACTACCTGCTAAAGGAGTTCTCCGTTCACGTCCCGTCCCGGACTCTGAATGTGACCTTCTCACCATCCCGAGACTCGTTCGCGTTTGTCAATGGCATCGAGGTAATTTCACATCCCGACATTTACAACACCGCCGGAGGGCCTACCGCGATTGTCGGACAACAACTTGGCACGTTCGTGGTCGACAATTCTACCGCACTCGAGAATGTTTACCGCGTGAACGTCGGTGGCAATGTGGTATCCCCGTCGAGGGACCCCGGGATGTTTAGGTGGTGGGACGAAGACACGAAGTACATATTTGGGGCGGCGCGTGGGGTCACGGAGGACGCGGGTGATTATAATGTGACGATCACTTACCCGCGAGGAATGCCGAGTTACGTGGCTCCCGTGGATGTGTATCGGTCCCTTAGAGCAATGGGTCCGATTCCGGCCGTGAATAAGAACTACAATTTGACATGGTATTTCTTGGTTGATTCAGGGTTCTTCTACCTTGTCAGACTCCACTTCTGTGAGCTCACTGACATCATTACCAAGACCAGCCAGAGGGTTTTTACAATCTACCTCAACAACCAAACTGCTGAGCTTGAAGCTGATGTCATTGCTTGGGCGGGCCGGAATGGGGTCCCGACCTATAGGGATTACGTGGTTTCAATCCCTCGCGGGGATCCACAAGTTGATCTTTGGCTTGAATTGCATCCCAGACTTGGATTCAATTATGTAGACGCAATCTTGAATGGATTAGAGATATTCAAAATAAATGATACTAAGGGAAACCTTGCGGGTCTGAATCCAATCCCTAACCTGAAACCACACAATTCTTTGGAACCATTCGTTCCAAAGAGTAATCGCAGAGCAACTATTGGCGGAGGGGTAGGCGGTGGAATTGCTGCTTTCCTGCTCGTTATTGTCTTTGTCATTTCTTTCTTCTCTTGCAGAAGGGATGCACAATCTGCTGCTTTGGCCACGACAAACACGACCGGAAGTTATGCATCCCCACTTCCGTCAACCCTCTGCCGGCACTTCTCTTTTGCCGAGATCAAGGTGGCCACTAAAAACTTTGACGAATCTCTTCTCCTTGGAGTTGGGGGTTTTGGAAAAGTTTATAGAGGAGAAATTGACGGGGGCACAAAAGTTGCTATTAAGCGCGGTAACCCGCTCTCCGAACAGGGCATCCATGAATTCCAGACAGAAATCGAAATGCTTTCTAAACTTCGTCATCTCCACCTCGTGTCTTTGATCGGTTACTGTGAGGAGAACTGCGAGATGATCCTTGTCTATGATTACATGGCATTCGGGACCCTTCGTGAGCATCTCTATAAGACCCAAAAGCCGCCGCTACCGTGGAAGCAAAGGCTTGCGATCTGCATTGGCGCTGCCCGTGGCCTTCACTATCTCCACACCGGCGCCAAACACACCATTATCCACCGCGACGTGAAAACTACCAACATCCTCTTGGATGAGAAGTGGGTGGCGAAGGTTTCTGATTTCGGGTTGTCGAAAACGGGTCCCACTTCGGATCACACCCACGTGAGTACGGCCGTGAAAGGCAGTTTCGGGTATCTGGATCCGGAGTACTTAAGACGACAGCAACTCACCGAAAAATCTGATGTGTACTCATTTGGGGTCGTCCTTTTTGAGATATTGTGTGCACGCCCGGCTTTGAACCCTGCCCTACCAAAGGAGCAAGTGAGCTTAGCGGAATGGGCCGTGCATTGCCACAAAAAGGGTATTCTTGACCAGTTCATAGATCCTTATTTGAAGGGCAAGATAGCACCCGAGTGTTTCAAGAAATTTGGGGAGACAGCCGTGAAGTGTGTGTGCGATGTGGGGACAGATAGGCCATCAATGGGAGATGTGCTTTGGAACCTTGAGTTTGCACTACAACTTCAAGAGAACGCAGAGGAGAGCGGGAAGGGGTTCGGCGTGACGACTGTACTGATTCCAGAAGCAGTGGCATATCAGTGAGTATAGGCTGTCGGAGTGTTGCCAGTGAGGAATCAGAAGGTCTGACATCCAGTGGCGTCTGCTCACAGATTATGAACCCAAGGGGCCGTTGATGATACGAGTGATGAGTCCCTTATCAACCAACTAGCCTAAATGGAACTTTGTACGAGTAGTGCTCAATATAGAAAAAACCTCTTCTGGCCAAACTGTAGCTTTGAAAAGCTATTTGTGCAAGTGGTGCCCTGTAATAATGTCAAAAGGGAAGGTAATTGACAATGAGTAACAATGCAAAATTTTATTAGGCTTGATAATCCGTTTTTTAAAACGCTCAATTAGATCAATTACAATAATAATATCAAACCAGGACATTATAAAAAGGTTCTCAACATAAGATACAATAAGAAGAATTAATAAGATCAACTGATAATAAGTTCGAGTTCTTAAGGTTTTGAAAGGCGAAAACTAGCCTCGAGGCAGTGGAGCAAAATGCCTTGAGGCGTAAACCTCAATTCAATATGAAAAAAACAATACTAAAATATGTATTCCGAGGTAAAACAAAATGCATAATCCATTTTCAAGTTAAATAAATGATAAAATCACAATTCCTGAATTTTACAAAAAATGATACCCTATCTTAACTCTTAAAACACAAAAATAGAATTATAAACATTAAAAACAGTAAAATAAAACACAAATGTCTCAAATACATCTTCAAACCTTATAAATATTAAATATGAACAAAAATTCATGCAAAACAAAAGTTATGTCATTCTTTGAAGTTTGAACTGAATTCAAAAGAGGGAGAGGGATGCTAGAAAAGAACCGAAAATTAAAATTCGAAAGAAAAAGATGAAAGAAATACTGTGTAGAAGATAAACAATTAAAATATGAAGCAATTGCCCTAGCTACTTCCGCAAGAGAGATGTGCCAGTGAAGTGTGAAAATGGTGAGATGTACGGTTGAAGACGGAGAGACGGAAGTTGACGCTGAAGTCTGGGAAAGAAGTGTTAACTATCTACTAGGATCATTAAGTTTTTCTTAAGAAACTATACAGTGCACATGCCCAAAAAAGTTTACGTAAAAAAGGCCCAATAGCTTTTAAAAAATAACCCTTATAATTGTTGAAATTCTTAATAAAATTGAGGCTTACACCTCGGTTACGGCTTACTGCCTCGGACCGCCTCAACATTGTGAGGCGTACGTCTTAGGTATCCCTCCTCAGAGGCAAAATGGATCCGTCTTACCGTCTCGGTCGCCTTTCAAAACCATGGGGGCCGAGTTCTAAACATGAGAAACAATTGAAATCACCTATTATATATTTTTTATAATAATGATGTTAAACCAGGTCATTATAATTAAAGCTTCTTCAAGATTCAATCTAAAGTGCAAAAACACATGGACAATTTTCAATAAGTTGTGTTTGAATAATGTTTCCAAACACACTTTTTATGAAGCATATGAATAATGCAGCAACCTAGGAGTACTAATTAATGAGGGGTTTAATATCACTATGTTATCTAAAAATAATGATTTTATATCATAATGTACTACTCATATTTTAGCACTAAAAGACATCACTGAAGTTAGAAGCAGTTATCTTCTTTACCATTATAATACGGTAACGATGAAGATAATGGAAATTAGAAACTAAAACTTCTACATGTATGTGATTTAACTATCAAATTATCATTAAAAAAAATCTCAAAATAACCTTTACCAAATTAAAATGATATAATGTTTAGAAAATAGTAGTTTCTTTACCAAATGTTTAAATCATTTGGTTTGATTTAATTATCAAATCACCATTGTTGGACTTGCTATTATACGTTTCATATTTCTGTGTGCTGAATCCAAGAGCAAAATAAGTGTGTTTTATTTTAAGTTTCTAAAAGCAAATCGAACAAAAAAAAGAATAAAATGAATTTGAGGAACTTGAAAATATAAATAAAAAATAAACTTCTTAACCCAAAATAGGTACAGTTTTCAAAACCCTAAATTAAATGCATTTTATAAAACAGAAATTCCAAGCAAATCAAGCCCAAACTATCCAAAATAATCCAAAACCCTAGCATGATAGACTGAAATATTAAGTTTTGAAAGGGAAAATTAAATCAAACCCACCTGCAAATAATCCAAAACCTAGCATGATAGATTACCATTAGCTAACTATATAAACACGAATCACCTTTCTCAATAGCAAAATAAAAAGCAATTTCGAAACACCAACGATCAAAAAATCTCTACAACTTCTCATGGATTCAAACCTACATGCAATTAAAAGGTGAAGTGAAGTTTGAATCTTAAGAAATGTCAATATCCTAAATCCACAACAGGTGATCAAAAATCTCACCGGTAAAAAATATAAAGAAATTCTGGCAGTAAAAGACCTCGCCGCATCAATTTCGATGATAATGAATGGACTGCACGCAGTAGCGCGAAGACAATCTAGACGATAACGATATAATGGAGGAGCTAGTAGAGGAAGGGTGTGTAGAAGATCGAGGTGGGAAAAAAGTGCGTGTAAAGCACAAAAGCTTTCCGTTTTAGTCAGAGTAAATCAGAAGTTAAGAGTAGAGAGAGCATGTAGTAGAGCATGTACCATTAACCCAAAAAATTAAGATAGTGTTATTTGTACACCAAGAATTTATACTTCATTTTATGCACCGCATAAATGCACCAATATTTTGTGTTGGTGTAATGCTAATTTTTGTTAACGCACCAACACTTTGTATCAGTGTAAATTTTTTTTAACGCACCAACACTTTGTGTCAATATGAACCATCAAAATGTTGGTGTGTACCTTTGGTGTACAAATGAGGTACAAATTTTGGGGTACATGTAGCATGCTCCAAAAAATTATTGCATCGAAGAGAGAACATACCCCACACACAGAAAGAGTTCCTAGGAGCATCGAAGGGGATGCTAAGGATACACCAAAAGTGTACCCCAAATGTACACCACATGCCTCTTTATCATTCATTTTTATTTGATTTATATATTATTATTATTTTAATTTTACATGCTAACTTATGTGGTTATGGAGGGGGTGGGGATATTTGGGGTACACCTCGCATTTTCCGGAACATTGCCCCCAATTGTCCATCGTCGTCCGCCAGTCGTCCGTCGCCGTAAACGGTACT